CCAGGTAGCAGTTTCACAAACAAACGAAGACTCAAAATTAATCTGCCTGTGCACTTCTGCTACAGTCTGTCTTGCAATGTTGTCTGATATACTGGCATTTGTGTGTACAGCTTATGCCTCATTAAAGGCAATAGGATAAAATCAAAGCTGGGAGTAGCTGGCAGCGTCCTTGATGGACCTGATGGACAACAAACAGCTTTCAGGGGATAGGAGGTGTGCAAAAAAGTCCTGGACCAGTATGCAAGCCAATTTAATAATATGCATCCACCTTTAATACTAAGGTCTCACTCACATGTCTGAAAAGCACCCCATCTTTGCAGGACTCTAAATTCAGTGTCACTGCCTTTGTTTGTAACAAAAAGGTTGCTCTTCCAAATTATTACCGAGTGGTCAGCCAATCCTCTCCTCCAACTGGCTGCATTTTGAATGTATTACACAAAATCCTAATGAGGAGGAGAGAAACAGCCTTGCCCTCAGCTGAAAAGATGCCACAGCTCCCCTGCAGCTGAGCAGCCTGGCCAGGACCAGACGGAGAGGATAAAACTCTGTGCTCTTCCCGCAGGCTCCTTTCGAGGCAGCTTGCCCTCAGCGCCATGTAGCATCAGTGATCCAGAGAAATCAGTGTCAGTTCAAAGTGGAATAACCTTCTTAGCCATGAGCTTGTGTATATGTTAGGTGTTGTCCCAAGGGTCACCCTTTTGGCAGGTATCTTCCCACAGCATGTCTGCCTCTGTCCTCAGCTGTGGACACGGAAAGCAGGGGCCAGCCAGACTCTTCAAAGATGCCCCGGGAAGGATGAAGTGGGTTTGTGAGGATGCAGGCACCCCTGCAGACACCACCCCAGGTGATGAACACTCAGCCTGGCTAATGCTTGTGGTTGTGCCCCAGATCCTGTCTTGCTTGCAGGCTCCTTGTTAGGAGGAGATCCCTTTGCCAGGATGCATTGAATTTCTTCAGGAACAAGGTCATTTCTCTGTACTCTGCCAGAGAGTAAAGTACGTACTTCTGAAAGCACAAAGACTCCTTGCAGAGCCTGCGTGGTGCCTGCAACTGTCCCGGGGGCAAGGCTGGAGGCAAAACTGGTGGTTACAGAGGAAAGCCTGCCCTGCTGTCTCCCCATGGTCCTGTCAGTGTAGCAGAGGTGGCACAGAGCAGGCAGGACTGTCTCAGAGGGCACTTACCTCCCCCACAAGGCAAAGGAGAAGCAAGTACTGTGAGCTGGAGCTGGGTCAATCAATGCCAAAGCCAAACGAGCACAGGAACCCGGTGGTGGGACCCGCAGAGCAGCAGCTGGAAGAGGCAAATTTTCCCATTGATTCCTTACTCCTCCCTCAGGCTGAACGCAAAGGCAAGAAGATGATCACTGATGTTCAGCGACGGGGGCCTTAAGGAACCGAGGGCTTTTTGCTCAATCTTTGTGCTGAAGTGCTTAGCCTTACACTGCAAAGACAAACAGCGGCAAGATTGCTCTCAGCAACCCAGACAGGAACATTTTAGTGCATAATTACGGATGAGATGCAAGAGGACGAAAAAAAGAGGAAAAACATCTGTTCACATAGAGTTTATTGCCGTTCACTTAAGAGCCCCATTAAATGCCAGAAAAAGCTATTTATCCTTCTGTTTGAGGCAATTATCGTGCTGCAAATCTCTGTGGCAATTCGCCCCGTGATTATTCCTGGAGTGCTGACACTGTGCACTGACACTCACCACATGGGGGAAAAGCATGGACCTTGCCCATTAAGGCTTATGGAGGGACCTTCAGAAGTGGGGTAGCCAGTGCTTCTCAAAGTCTTTTGGCTTGTGCTTTGACTGTGCTCAAGCTGCCATCCTACTGAGCTGCTACAGAATGAAGTCACAGAGCTGCTATCGAGTCACCCAGCTTTTTAAAATACTCATTTGCAGGGAAATATTATATTATCATCAACTGCTGTGGAGAGTTGGGATGTTTCTTGCAGTCTTTTCCTGGACTTCGGGTGCCTCAGGACCTCCCTTTCAAAAATCAAAAGGAGCTTTTATATTCAAAGCACACTTAAAAATGGGGTTGCTCTTTTTGTAGCCACTGTCTCAGCAATATGGGATGTAAGAAGCCCACATTGAGTTCCATGTATGTTCAAAGGAGACCAGCTCTCCCACTGACCTGGAGACCGCTCATCTCACCTGGCTGCCAAGGCGTGTGGGGTGGAGAGGCTTCATCTCCTTGAAGCCCAACCCTGCACTCATTCGATGAGGAAAGCAAGCACAAGGCTCCCTCTGTGGCTCTAGTGCATTCCATGAGGAAAGGGCTGTTTTCCAGACCCTCACTTTAGCCAAAAAGCCGACTGGAGGTGCATATGCAGGTGCTTCAGAAGCACCTGCAGTTGGCTCGTTTGCTTAATTCTCCAGTGACACAGAAAATAAACAAGCCTTCCCCTGCTCAGCTCATAAATGTAAGTAAAAGCTTATGTAAGCTTGGATATCAGCTGGTTGACTGCAACTTTGCAGAAGTTAAATAAAAAAGCAGCAGAAGCGCTGGTGCACACTTCTTACAACATGAGAAATATATTGTCCCCACGGCAGTGGACATGAGCAGGAACAGAAGAAAGAAACGTGGGACAGTGCTGGCTGCTGTCAGTGGTGTGAGACAGTCTCAGAGGAAAAACAAAACACAGGAAAAAGATTTCCCTTGGAAATACAAGTTTTAGGAAGTTATTCACTTTCAGGAAAGTTTCTTTCACCTTTCTTTTCTCCCCAGCCGCTCCCTTTCCTCACAAGGCTGAGTTCTGACTCATGTCCACTTTTCCTCCTCCAAAATATGTAACTTTGATTTATTCACAGAGAAAAGCAGGGCAGGGGGGAATTCCCAGAAAGAAAACAAGACCATTTCAGATCATCCTTAAACCACTGACAGTTCCTGATACCTGAGCACCCAGGGTGGTGTGTGGGCTGGCCAGGAGCCAGGCCAGGCAGTGGGCTCATGGGCCAGGCTGCAGCCCTGCAGACACCCCCCATGGGAGGTCTGGCCCAGACTCAGCTTGAGGGGCTCGGGGACCCCAGATCCCCAAAACACGAGGAAATGAGGACACTTGGCTACCCAAGACAGTGGTTTCCCCTCCAGCCAGAGAGTGGGGGAAAAGCTCTGGGACATGCTGCTATAGCAACAGCTTTGTCTAGGATTATAATCCCTTGCTTTTATTAACAACAGCTTCTGGTGTGCTGCTACCTTCATATTTCTATTTCCTCAATGTACCTTTTTTTTTTTTTTTAAGCATTCTCTGTGACATTTTATGGCCCTAACTGATTCACGATTTTGTCTTCAGCCTTATGGCAGCACCCAAGCCCTCCAAGCCTTATAGGTCTGTGGGACCCCGGCAGGCACCCACATTTCCACCGAGTTCAGCATCACTGCATTGGCTCTCTGAGATGGAGTGGGTTTCTTTCAGTAACTGCTTGATCCAACATCTCCCTCTGGTGGAAAACAGGGAATAAAGCAGGATAAAATAAAGCCTCGTACAACATATACATTGATTTAAGGTAGTTGTGGAAACAAGACAAATCTCTGTCTAGGCTATGATTTTCTCTACTACATTTATCCCAAATGAATTTGAATATATCACGCTGAAGTTTAGCTCAAATAGTGTTCAACTAGAAAAGGATTGTAATGAATAGTGAATGCCAATTTTCCTGTATTCTTTCAGAAATTTGGCAAATTTATTTTAAATATAGGCAGAAGCCTATATCGAGACAATACATCTTTATGGATTTGTTTCTGCAAAGAAAATCAACAAAATTCCCTGTTTCAAAATAAGTTTCAAAATAAAACTATTATTTTGTGCTCAAGCTCTAAAATCCATCATACAGCCCATCTGCCGTCTGCAATCGCAAGGACCGACAGAAATGTCTCTAAGTATAATCTTTCCCTTTCTATGCCATAATTACACCTTTGAAGTTCCCTGTGAGTGTTGACAGATCGGTTGCCATCTGCTGGGAGTGCCTCTTCAATGTAGATCAGAAAGTGCAGATGAGAAGGAAAGGCTCAAGTAGAGCCCCGTTACCTTCTGCCTGGCCACACACGGGCTTAAGAAAGGGCACAAGGATAAAATGCTTTGCACAGGTGACAGCTAAATATTTCTTTAAGGGCACCTCCTTTCATCAGTATGGAAAATTGTGGAGGTTTAATGACCTTCCACTGCTGACCTTCCCCCACCTGCAAGCGTTTCCCTGACCCTCACTCTGTGTTTCCAGCTGAAGACTGCAGAGCTGACACAACAGCAAGGACAGATTTAGGATCAAAATGGAGTTTTGCAAATTCCTCAGCTGCTGGCTCACCTTCAGCTGGAGAGTTAACACAGGCCACATCTTTGCTTCAGCTCCTGGCAAGGCCCTTGGGTGAGGAGCAGGAACTCAGGGACGGCTGGTGAGATGTTGGCAGAGGCTGACAGCTGAGGCTGGGCAGCTGAAGCAAGAAAGGATTTATCTCAACAGGCTTCAGGCACCTAGAAGCCAGGCAGTCAGTGTCAGCGAGCCGGCTTGCAGGCATCCAGATGTTGTGACCCCCGCTTTGTGGGCAGGTGTGTAGCTGGCACAGGGCAGCATCACTATTCATCTATGGATATATTTTAGAATATTTAAATTTTCCATGCTTAGGGAGAAAAATGAGGGAGGGATGTGCAATTATTCCCAGAATATTAGGAGCAATTGTTTCTGGAGCAAAAAGCTGAGGCATCCAAGTAGGATTCTCAGCCTTTGTGTGGCATGGCCTTAGTGGGGAAGAAAGAGTAAGGTTTTAAAAGAATTTCAAGCTAGAGACTAGGGGGAGTGAGCAGGCAGAGAGGAGCAGGGGTTCATGATGCCTTGTCCTTAAAGTTGCCATTTTGACATCCTTGACATATAACCACAAGTAAGCAGGAAAAGGCAAGGCACAAGATGGACAAATAAAGCCCCTTTCAACAGGGCACAGGAGCTGGAGCAATCAGGCTCAATGTATGCTGGTTTCTAGTTGCTATAACTCTAAAAATAAGGTATAGGGCTAAAATGCTTGATTTTTATACAAGGGTAGTGAAATATCAGAGACTGTCCAGAAAAAAGATCATTACTGGCTCATTGCAATAGCATGATAAAAATTACATGGGAAAGAACTGAAATAGATCCCATCCAAATGAGGAAATGTAAAAGGACACGAACTCTGCCAAATTAAAACCAGAAACAGAAAGGCAGACTAAAAAAAGATTTTGAGGAAATAACTTGCTAACAGATAAAAAGCTTCCTCTGCCCCAGCCGGAGCAAGGAGGCTGCCGGAGGGTCTCCAGGTGACCTGGGTATGCAATCAGCAGATGATCAGGGTGGCAAAGGAGTTTGGGAGAAAACAAGCCCTAACACATCAGCTAAACAGACTGTGTCAGTGTTCAGCACAGAAAAGCTTAGTGGAATTCCCACAGCAGAGCCCTTTGCTAAAGGGATAATGCAGAGAAGCTGCCTCAGATTGAAGGGCCATTAGACCTGCGTTTAGAACAAATAGACCCAACCAGTAGTAACAAATTGATGAGAAGCAGATTTTACTCACCTGTGGGTTTTTAAGGAAGGCTAATGGAAAATCGTTGCACTGTTAGGGCTGGTGTATAACCCTTTACTTAAAACAGCCAAAGAAAAAATGGATGGCATGTGACACTGTTTTAAGGACTGTGAGAGATCTAGAGAAATGCAAACCACTGAACCTGACACCCGTAGCAGGCAAATGGCAAAAGCCATGATAACAGGATAGTTGCAAGGACAGACATGGACTAAGAGGGAAGAATCAGCAGAGCTTTGCAGTGAGGAGCTATGAAGCTGTGCTTCACCATCCTCTTATGGCTTCCGAGGAAACAGTGAGGCTGCAGACCAGAGCAATCAGCTCAGTATGATCTGCTCAGCTTCTGGAAAGTCTTTAATAACGTCTGTCACCAAGGAATCATAAAGAAGCTAATCTGGCATGGGATGAAAGGGAAGATCCTTTCATGAGTCAGCAACTGCATATAGGATAGAAAGAATAACGTTAATAGAACTGTTAATAGAGCTTAATTTATCGGTTCTTTTTAATCGTGTGAATTCTTGAAAGATTTTGATTTGTTTTGTGAGGACAAAAAAAATAGTCATAAGTGGATGCTAATACCCTTGAATGAGCCATTTAAGATCTAATGAGTAGTTTAATCACCTGTACTTTGACAGTATGCTCAAATTTTGGGGAGTGACTACCTTCAGCCACATCAAAGGGCTTGAATTGCTGAGGGGAGTGTAAAGTCCAGCTCAGCCTCTGCCATGGAGTGAGGGTCTGGGCATTGGTGGCTCAGCTTCCTTACGGCAAGGGGGCTGGCTCTGTCCAGGTACAGACAAATTTGTCTTTAGAGTGTTTATCTAGTCTTAAATGGCTTTCCTCTCCCTTATGAAACTGAAGCTGGTGTTAAGATCCTTGCTGGTTTGTCACCAATATATTCCTATCAGCTGTTGCAAGGAAAGCAGCCAGTGCTGATGCAAAGCAGAAAAGAGATCTTTGTGCTCCTAAGCCCACCCTGAAAATTTCTCTTCTGCAGAACACAGACCATCAATACTGCTATTGGGGGAAAAAAGTAATCTGTGCCTGAGACACAATCTGAGGGGCTCGTAGATAGAAAGAGATAACTTGCAAACAAGTGTGAGAAAAGATTCACAAAATTGTAGCTCATTTGGGGCAATCTCCTCTCACAGAAACTTTGTGTTAAATTCCCCGAGGTGTAATATGCAGTGATCAGTGAGTGCCACAGACTTGCTCTTAAAAGAATGTTTGCCTGGTCACTGTGCATGAGAGTGACCTGACACATTGCTTGCTGTAAGAGCAGACCTGGAGCACTGTAATGCAGTACTGCGTGGCTTTTTCTTTTCCTTGTAAATCACACAGAAAATGGTAAAGTTTGTTAGCCACATGGCAGGAGCAAGGGCAATACTAGATTAGGTTTGGTAAAAGAGGAGATAACTAGTTTTTACTGAATCTGAACCTAGTGCATCTGATACATCTGATACCCTTTAGATGCAGAAGAAGAAATTGTCAATTGATCTTAATGACATAACCCCCCCACGACAGGGGGGTTGGAACTGGATGATCTTTAAGGTCCCTTCCAACTCTAACCAATCTATGATTCTATATTATACTGCAGCAATCTGACCCCTGTTATGTGAAGAATATTTACATATCTTGCCTTCTCCTTAACATGAGGCTAGGAGAAATGCCCAGGGCAGAAACAATGCCAGACAGAGGAGAAAGACAGCTGGACTAATACTTGGATCAACCCATCATGCCTTTCCAGTGTGGCTGCTGGAAGCCAGGTAAGATACCACTGAGCATCTCCAATGGCACAAGCTGTTGTCTTAGATTCCTTCTATGCAGTAATGGAATAAAAGTTCAAAGCTTCTACTAGGAGATGCAACACTAATGTCGTAAATGGAAAAGGAACCTCTGGGACTCAAAGCTTGGCCCTTGATGAGGAGCCTTGCAGAGCAGCAATGCACTCTCCCACCAGGCGAGCAGCCTCTTTGGCTGTGCCCCTGTGCACTGAAAAGCCACCTGCCCCGTGCCCATAGTTGTGGACCACTGGGAGCTTAACTCCTCCTCGGCTCAAGACCTCTCTCTGCAGTCTCACGTGCTGCCTGGATGGCCTCAGGCCCACCTTCACCTTGATATCCTGAGCTCCCCGCAGTGAGGGCTCAAGGGAGCAGCATCTGTCTAAGATGTCTTTGGTAGTGCCAGGATCAGGGGCGAGACTCCAGTTGTCTTTTTCCCTGGTTCCCCCTAGGGTTACCCTGTGTATCCCTGGGTATATGTAAGTTAAGCCGTCCCCATCACGGATGAAGTTTTTCACCCAAGGCGCATGAACCTTGAGTACTTGTCCCCTGACAGGGAAGAGCTTCTCGTCCCCCACCAGCTGGCGGGCTCCGATGCCCGTGCAGTTGACGACGACGTTGTACTCGCTGTGCAGCTCCCACAAGTCTGCAACTTTTCTGGTGTAAATTTGGACGCCAGCTGCTTTCAACCTGCAAAAAGATTCCAGAAGTGAGGCAGAAAAGAAACACCTAAATACTCATGTAACTTAAATCTTTATATACATTAAGTAAATGAGATAGATTGCCTTTAACCTTGCTCAAAACCAAATAACAGATGGAAAAAACCACAAAGAAAATGACACTTCTGTTTGTGATTTGCCTGACTTGGTCCCATTAAATCTTTTTTTTTCAGCTTGTTTCAACTGGAAAAGATACAGCAAGTTGATCAATATTAGAGAAGGGTCTGGCATAGGACACTAGATGGACAGGAAGGTCCTCATGGTCTCATTTGTTCATTTCTATAACCGTACCAAGCTTTAACCTTCTCAAGCAAGCTGAAAAATGTCAGATTTATTCACCAATGTACTTCTGCTAGTGACATCACTATCATTCTACACCCCTTTAATTTTCCTATTACACACATATTGCATTCTTTCCCAACTCACCCCCATGATATCAGGAGCCACTTAGTCATCTATTGCATGTGTGAAGACCTGAGGTGCCCAGGACGTCCCCACAGGCTGGGCAGATATGGCATGGGACGCCCAGGAGACCTATACCCTTCTAGAGCAGCAGCCGGGAGTCACCCAGGACAGCTCGGAGCACTATACATCCATATGTCTTCCAGCAAAATTCACCTCTTCTTGAGGCTCATCTTTGAGCTCAATTTCAAGCCAAATTCCACCCTGAACTCGCCTGAAGCTTGATACCCTTCCCTGTGGAGAAACATTGGCTGGAAATGTGGAGTCACAGCATGCTGTCAGCTGGGTACGGTCTCTGGGGTGGGTTTAGCATGAACAAGTCACTGGGGATTTTAGCATGAGACAGATCTGTGATGATGGCATCACAGTAAGTGGGAAGTCCTGTCCTCTGCAACACTCCAGCAGCTGGCAAAGTGATCAGCCACGCTGTAAGGGCAGTGGTTTCCCACAAAGCAGTGAGTGAGCCGGGGGTCCAGGGCACGGCTGGTGCTCTGAGGGCTGGGGTTTGGGTGCAGCAGGACATTGAGGCTGGCTGGGAAGAACTGTGGAGGTCTCATGTAGCTGTTCTGTCTGGGCAACTTGCTGGGAGAGTTCGTAAGTGGGATTCTGCCATCCTGGCATAAAAAATACACCAGTAAAAAAAAACTGGTGAAAACTCCTGAATTCAGGCAAGCAAGCAGGAAAAAATTCCTGAAGTCCATTTTTGGACCAGCAAGGTGGGCACAAAAACAATTTTCCTTGTGGATTGCCAAGAGAACCGTCTATAAATACTGCTCAGGTCACTAGGGGTTTGAGAATTAGTTACATGTTTAATATGCTCTCATTTCTCATCACCGGAGAGAAGAGAAAGAAGAGGAGCTTGATCGTTCTTACTAGATTACATCCTTTGAGAAATAAGAAGGCTACACCAGGAACAAGGAGACAGCAGAAGTCACGTGGTGGATACCAGATGTGTTGAACAACTTGGTTGTGCTTCAGCAGAAATTTCCGACTGAGTTAAGTGATGAAACATGACAGTGCCTGTGTACCGAGGAGGCAGCACAGACCTCACTGGTGCCACTGGGGTGATCCCAGCCTGGCTGGCTGCTAGAACAAGAACAGTTTTTCACATTTCGCGGTGAGATGAAAGGCAACTGGCTGAGCTGGCAATTTGTGGCGCAGTGTAGGTACGTGTCTCACCACTTAACCTCAAACCAGCCCACAGCCTGTCGCTTTCTCTCAAGCAGAGACAGCTATTTGCTCATTTTAGGGGTACTTAAGTGAATTAAATGCATATCGCAGATGTCAGGACTCTTTTAGATCTGCATCCTGTCTCTCCTACGGTTCTCTGAAATCCCTGTATTTTGGAGAAATTTGGAAATTGCCCAATTTCCTAACTTTCATGTCAATCCCAGCATGAATTCTGAAGCCACAACTCCTCGGAGTGAGTGCATCACCCATGTGCAGGCAATTATTTTCGAAAGATTTGCTGCAAGATGATGCTATTTGACCTTTTTTTCACCTGACTGGGTTAATAAATTACTCCAGTTGTTGACCAAATTTGAGGTGAATCAGTCCAGCTAATTCTTAAGTGCAAAGTCTTCACAAATAAGACATCTTCCCAAACATGCATATTCTCCCAAGAACAGAGGAACGTATTTGGGAAGTTTGGCAAATGACGAGTGCCCACACATTTTCCTAGGACATGGCAGGTTCCTGACACCCATTCAAGGTCTGGCTGGCCAAGCATGACCCCTGTGACTATGTCAGTCCTGTACACTTCCACTCTAAGCCCCACTGCAGCCGCAGTGGTACAAAGTGGACATTGCACAGATGGGGCCTTTCACATTTTGGAAAGATTGGTTATTTATTTCTCATGCTTCTCCCCAGGGAAGAGCTTGCTGCATTTTCCCCAGTGAGAAACAGCCCTTTTCCAGTTTTGCTCAAACTTAAGGCTCTCATGGAGTCCCCAGCTCCCCCCAAGTCCCTCTGCTTGGGTTTCTCTTGCATGCCCAGCCTGCAGCAGAACCAACCTTTTCTCCAGCCACAGCAGGTAGGGTGGACAGTCACATTTCAGGGTCATAAATGCCTGACCAAATTGGTGCTGAGGAAACTTTTGGAGTTCTGCTTTGGACATCTGTCGAAATCCCAGGACGATGTCTGACCAAAAAGGTAACTCTTCCTTGGGAGAGTTTTTGAAGACTTGCCACCTAAAAAGACACAGAGAAAAAGCTGTAAAGCTTAGCTGCTGTTGCTCTGCTGTGTTACTTGTCATGGCGATCTCAGCATAAACCCAGGAACCTGTTCCCACCCATCAGTGCAGCTCTGTGAAGTTAACAGCAATGGGGAACCATCCCTGCCTGCTGCTGCAACACCCACCTTGGCAAACAGGCAGAGGGCTGCCACAGCCGAGCTCGAGGGTGACACACTGGGGTAAATCAACTGGAGAGACTTCTTCCAGCTGCAGAAATACAAAGCTCCCTCACAGAGTGTCCCCTCCACGGCTGCGGCCACCCTGGCTGGACCTTCTTGTAGGGCCACTTGCTCACCTGGTCACATTTTTTGGGGTACCCATAAAGCCACAGAGTGCCCAAGCCTCAACACTCCCAAGAGGTGAATTTCTGTGTACAGAACAGGCAGCATAAAACACCCCAAACACACACACACCAAGTGTATCCCTACACCTAGTTGCTGAAGCTGGAAGATCCTACAGTCCCATCCCTACGGAGACCACACCTGCTGAAAGCAACTGGTGGATGACAGGATGGAAAATATCAGTTATTAAAAGACATTTGGTGCTGGCCAGTCTTGAGCGGTTTCACTGTGCACACCTATGCACGAATTTTGCTTGAAAATACATTGTATGTGAGCAGCTGCAATGCAGTTTCTTGGGAATATGGTCCTAAGAGCTGCTCCATGAAGGGAAAATATTTCAAATATGAGAAAAAACTTCTTCACAGTAAGGGTGCCAGAGCCCTGGAACAGGCTGCCCAGGGAGGTTGTGGAGTTCCCTTCCTTGGAGATTTTCAAGACCCACCTGGATGCAGCCCTGAGTAACATGCTCTGACAAGCTCTAGGCAATCCTGCTTCAGCAGGGGAGTTGGACTAGATGATCTCTATGGTCCCTTCCAACTCTAAAAATTCAGTGAAATTCAGTGAAAACACCTGAATGCCAGCAGCTCCAACTCTCTGCCTGCTCCAGTTCATAGCACAAACATACCAAAGGTTGTTCTTACCCAGAGACCAGGTGAATGCCAGCCTCTGATGCCTCGGCTGAGTTGCTGATGGCAAAAAGGTAAGTGAAGGTCTCTTTGAACCACTGCTTCTGCACGTGGGTCGGTGTGCCTGCACGTGAACAAAACCAAATGCGCAGAGAGGAGTAATGCAAAGAAGAGAAGTGTATGAGCCAGCTTCAAGGAGATGGGACACATGGGGAACACAGGCCATGGCACTTTTCTTCCTGAAGCCCTGTGCATCACTGCACACCTGGGCACGCAGCCACGTGCGGTGCCACAGGCAATGCCACGCCGGGCTGCACGCACCTGGGTAGGTGTGAGGGATGAGGATCCCAGCTGCGGCGTCACTCGTCGTGTCGGGGCTGAACTGGTCTGAAAGGACCGTCACGGAGCAGCTGGGGCAAGTCTCCGTGATGCACAGTGCTGTGGACAGGCCCACAACTCCAGCGCCAACCACTGCAACCTTGGGTGCTGTCATCTCCAGGAGGCAGAGCCAGGGGAGAGAGGTACCCAGGACCTACCTGCATTTGGAAACAACATACCCCGTGTCACCAAGATCCCTGCTGGACACCCTCATCAGGCTATGAAATACCCACACAAGATGTAATATAACCCCCCTGGGGCAGCTAATCGAGGACTAATTACTCCACATGACCATCAGCCTTTGGTATGACGACAAATTTTTGAAAAGTATTTCAACAACCAGTACCCCAACCTCAGGAGAAGAGCCAAGGGCAAGAGAGCGATCTGTACATACAGCACCGGTGTTCAGGCTGCAGCAACCTGGGGCAAGGCTTTTTCAATAAAACCCAAGGAAGTGAGGCACCCAGCAAGTTTTCCATTGTGCCAGGGACAAAAGCCGGAGCTCTGGAGAAACTGGCTTTTAGGCAGCATGAGCAAAAAGGTTCTTTGAACACCAGGATCCCCATCAATGAGGTCTGTCACTGCCTGGGCAGCAGAAGCAGATCACATAGGAGGCAAATTGGTTACACAATGGGTCCAGTGCACTATGGAAAAAGTTTTTCTTAACATGCATCTTAGTTCCCCTGCTGTGCAGGGCTCCCCATCTCATCCTGAGCACCCACTTAGTTGTGTAGCTCTGTCCTAGAAAACGTGAATTTCAGTGATTAAACACAATGCATAGTTTCACAGGGTACAGCCTGGCTGCTTACACTCTCACATCCAAAAATTGTTTGGGCCACAATGCCTTGGCAGGAAAAGTGTGGGAAGAGAAGCAACCTGTACCCAGGGGGATTTTGTATCCCTAGTGACCTAGAGGTCTCCAACCGATCCCTGGCCCCTCTACCTGCCAGTCTGAGCCACTGCCTTGGACAGATTCGTGAGCATCTGAGGCTGCCATGCTCTCCTGGCAGCACAATGGTAGTCCCCAGGAGCCAGCCAAACTTGCTGCCCCAAGAGCCTGTGCATTTTCCTCTCTCTGCCTTGCTCTATAACCTGTTTTATGTCCTGGAGCAGCTCCACTCCACTCCTCAGCACCTTCAGCTGCTGTTTGCTACTCCAGGAGGTGCAGTGTCTCTACTTTCCCTTCTGGCTGAGTTTCAGATGTAGGGGGGGGAACTCCTCTGTCTATAGCTCTTACGTTTTCCTGGAGTATCGACCAATATTCACTCTTGGAGAGGATGCTGAGTGATATGGACCTTCGGTCTTGCTCCCTTAGCGTCTTGCTTTCACCTTCAGGACTAGCTCTTCCTTGATTGTAGAAATCCAGCCTCACTAATTGCACTCCAAGAACCTTTTATGGAATGCAGTGCCTGCAGTTACAAGGATGGGCTGATTTCCCATCTTCCTGTGGCTTTTGGCAGCTGTGATGTAAGTTTAGGCAAGACAGACTGCGTGGGATTATGATAGGTCAGGTTTGTTTAAGAGATCCTTGCTCACAACCCCTCCACACAGCTTCTCACTTACCCCTGAGGCTTTACTACTTAAAATTTTATGTCCTTACTATGTAGGAAGGGAAAGAGGAGCTGGCACTGATGCTCATCATTGCATTCCTTCTGCATCACAGCCAGAGGTTGTTACAACCCCTCTTTTTCCTCTCAGGGAGATGCTTACGTTTCTCCCTGTTAATTATTACATCTTTTTTCACAAGCTGACGCAGCAGGGAGATGGGATGCAGCGCAGAGGTAAAGAGGAGCCCTGAACCAGAACTGCTGGCCTGCACTGCTGCCACCCACAAACCCAACCTGAAAAAATGCAGATTTGAAGGGGAACTGCACCTCAGAGCTCTACCACCACCCCAGGCTGCCCCAGGCACCTGCAGCAGGAACCTGCCCTCTGTGGAGGGGCAGAGCATGGACAGCATCTGCTTCTCTGCCACAGTCTCCAGGATATTTTGTACTGGTCATTGATATTTAAAAAAAAAAAAAAAAACAAAACAGAAAAAAAATAGAAATAGAAATAGAAATAGAAATAGAAATTCCAGGAGTTTTAATAATGCCGGATTGACTTTTGTCATGACAATTTGTTCTGAGAAAGGTGTCTAAACACATTTTCAATAACAAACCTCCTCACGCAGCGCTGGCAGCTGTGGAAGTGGCGTGTGGCTGTCAGCATGCTCAGCGAGCCTCTCAGCAGTCCAGGGATGACCACAGTCCTGTTGGAACATACACAGCGGGGATGCTGTGCATCTGCCAGGGATGTGCTCTTGGCCACCTCTCACCGCTCCCGCTCGCTGGAGCCCTTGGACCGCAATGGAGATTGAATTTCCTGACTGTCCTCCCTGCCGCCGGGGAAGAAAGGGGAGCTGCAGTTCGGCGAAGGTTCAGGTTTCACAAGTCTTCCCAATTCTGATGGGATTTTCGCAGATAAGCCAGTTCGATATCAACAGATCCCAATACTGCAAAAGCCAGCGAGGGTGGGAAAGGGGTGGTGCTGGAACCTGTGGCAATGGCTCAGAAGACCATGACAGGCACCCATGGAACATACTTATTTTCTAGTACTTAACTGCTGCACACCCAGGAGCACATCAAGGCTGAAGGTGCTAATGAGCCAAAAATTAACCGGGTGCAAAGCCGAGGCTACATGTGGTTGTATGGGCAAGTGCAGCTTGGGCTTTGGGGAGCCACCGACCTCGCTGGGAGCGGGAGGCTCACCTGTGGCTCTGCCCAGGCAGCCCAGCAGGGAGCCCTGCACCTTGCCAGGAGGTCACAGGAGGAGAAACTATTTTCAGCTGATGTGGCAGGCCAGCTTAATGCAGCATCGGAATGACGCTTCTCACCTCCTCAGACTGGCTTGGGCTGAGGGTTTTGCAAAAATCAGCATTTAAAAGGTGCAGTAACCGTTGGGGAGGGAGAGAGGAGGTGTCAGGTACCGTTTAGCTCTCAGTCTTTTCTTAGTGTCAGAAGAACGGGACAGAAGCCAGACAGAGCCTCCTGGAGTTGTCATTCTCCAGCGAAGAGGACACCGGCTGCTTGATATGGGCTATGTGCCCCTGCCACCCTCCTGCTCCTCCCAGGCCAGAACATTTTTAAAAATATTGCAACATTTTGTGATGGGACTCAATCTTCCAACTCCTGCAGCTGAGGAGACAATGCCAGCCTCATGTGATGCAAGGGGATCCTTATTCTTTCTTACCTCTTACAGCTGTGTATCACCACTGACTGCCACTAACCTTCAGCCTTAATATCATTCTAGCAGTGGATAACATGAGAAATCTGGATAAATACACTGGTCTCCAGCACAAATCACAGAATCTTCTAGGTTGGAAGGGACCTTAAAAATCATCTTGTCCAACCGTCAACCTAATTTTGACAAAAATAAACACCCACACAACAAACAAAAAGGGACACCATCACTAAACCATATCTCCCAGCACTACATCAACCCGTCTTTTGAACGCCTCCAGGGATGGTGCCTCAACCACCTCCCTGGGCAGCCCATTACAATGTCTGATAACCCTTTCTGTGAATTTTTTTTTCCTAATATCCAACCTGAACCTCCCCTGGTGCAACTTGAGGCCATTTCCTCTTGTCCTGTCGCTTGTGACTTGAGAAAAGAGACCGACCCCCACCTCTCTACAATCTCCTTTCAGGTAGTTGTAGAGAGCAATAAGGTCTCCCCTCAGCCTCCTCTTCTCCAGGCTGAATAACCCCAGCTCCCTCAGCCTCCCCTCATAAGACTTACTCTCCAGACCCCTCACCATCTTTGTTGCTTTTCTCTGGACCCGCTCCAGCACACACAGAGGAACACACATACCCACTGCCAGCTGCAGCTGTAGCTTCCTGGCCCATGGTACCTCCAGACTGCCCCTCGGGCTGTGATAGACCCAGGGAAACCAGCATCCCCCAGCTGGAAGAGCTGCACAAACACTATTGCTTTGGCATCTCTGCATTACAGGCATGGCCCCTCGCCATACCCTTGTCCCCCTATGGCCCAGCTCCATCTGCACGCCTCCCTGGCAGGCTGGTCGCTCTCAGCTTGTGTCACAACCCAGTGGTCTTACCAAACTAAGTGTATTTACACGCCCAAATGACCACTTGAAAAAGTCCAACTGATCTATTGGCAAGAAAACAGAGCAGCAGGAAGTAAAGAAAACCCAAGCCTGTTGCATTTGAAACCCTGTGAGTTTTTTAAACTAACTCAACACATCAAAGTCCCAAAACATTTTTTTGGTTTGCCTGAAGCCTGTAGCACTGGGTAGCAAAGGCTCCAGCCTTCCTGAACTGTTGGAGGGGCTCCCCGTTACACCAGGGTTGCTGTGCCCACCGTCCCAGTCTGTGCCTGACATGGAGAACTTTCTCCCTTCCTTTTTTTGCAGATGATGCTTTTATTTATTCACTTCCCCAGTTTACAAGCACCCTTGGTGTTGCTTCCCTTGGGCTGACCCCAGAGAGGGGTTTTCCCAGGCCTTTTGCTAAAGGTAGCCACATTCACTTAGGAAGCTCCATCCATTCCTGGGAGTTTGCTGAGGAGGGGCCCCGATTTTGGCCTTTTGACTCTGCCCTGGTCCCTTTTCTGTCATTTGGGCTGCTCCGTGAGACGTACATTCGGGACCTGCCACAGGAGGAAGGTGAGGATGCTCTTTCTTCACCTAACGAGGGACTCTGGAGGCACCTTGGGATCCCCTCAGCCTTTCTGCACATACAGCACCACTGCCAGAGGGTGGGTATTTCTGAGCCACCGTCACAGGAGACCCCGGGGCTACCAGGGAGGCCTCAGCTCCTCCTTTAGCTAGCTGTTCACACAGGCATGCAGGGCAAACACCTCCCGAAGGACAGGAGGTTATACCCACCCTAGAAGCCACCAGTGAGCTCCACCAGCAGCACCTACACCCCAGGAGATGCTCTGGCCTTTCCCCCAGCCCGGAGAGCTCTGCGCTGCCTCGTCCCCGCGGGGAGAGGGTTGTTGCTGAACCCGTTGCCTCTCCCGTGTGATGGGGGGGGACACAGCAGAGAGAAGCTGAGGTTTAACAGACCCCGAGCCGCCTCCCCCCCGCGGGCACAGATCTCACAGACCCCCAGCTAGACCCTGCGCCACAGTCTCTGGTGACACCCGTCGCACGGCCACGCGCCCCCCCCCCCCCGACAGGGCTCCGCCGTCTAACGTTTCCCTCCCAAAATCAACAAGGGGGGTAGAGAAAGCCATACCTGGTGGGTCGGAGGCCGCCGGTCCCGCGGGGAAGCGGTGCGGGAGAGGCCCCGGGGCGCTGCCGGGGGAGGTGCGGGGGCTGTCGGCAGCGCCCCGTCCCACGTCCCGCCGCTGATGAAGGAGCCGTTTGTGCCAGGGCGAAGGCCGCCTCCAGCGCTGGCACCTCTCCCGGGAGAGCCCGGCCGCAGCCGTGACCTTCCCCACCCGCCAAGAACTGCTTGTTCCTGGAGGATTCCCCCCGAGGAGGCTCAAGGGGCCCCGCTGTCCTGCATAGGATGTATTGTCTTTTTTTCTCTCTTCACAAACAATTAATTATGTTCTGAATATTTTCTGAAGCTGTCCGGAGATTGCTGTGGTGCTTGAGCAATGGTGGTAGCAGTCAGGGTGGCACAGAGTGTCCATGGACCTACTCTTTGTCAGAAGTGTAGTGACAGGACAAGGGGTAATGGTTTTAAATTGAAAGAAGAGAGATTTAGATGAGATACTAGAAAGAAATTCTTTGCTGTGAGGGTGGTGAGGCACTGGAACAGGTTGCCCGGAGAAGCTGTGGCTGCCCCATCCCTGGAGGTGTTCAAGGCCAGGCTGGATGGGGCTTTGAGCAACCTGCTCTGGTGGGAGGTGTCTCTGCCCATGGCGGGGGGGGTGGAACTAAATGGTCTTTAAAATCCCTTCCAACTCTAACCATTCTATGACCTTATCATTTCAGTCATCACAGGTGGATGAAGAACGAGCCCCTGCTAAACCACAAATGCCTAATGAGCACAGCCAGGCAGGTGTGTTCAGATTAACCTTCTTCAGCTGAAAAACATAGTTTTGAAACTTGAGAAAATTTGTCAAATACAAACCTGTCTGCAGCATGACCAGCATGAAAGTACATACCGGGGTTGGCTGGCTCCAGGGCGTTTGCCATTGGCAGGACTTCTTGGCTAATGTTTGACAGCCTGAGCCTTCGTCCCTGAACGGACTCAGCAGGACCTGTTTGCAGACCGTGCCCTTCCAGCCCCGCCGAGCAGCATTTGCCATGGATCTTCCAAGCAGGTGCCTTTTCTTGGTAGCCATTTAAATACAGCAGCCACCCAAAGGGCATCTGCACCTACAGCAGCAGTGTGCACAACACCCGACCAGCTGTTCCAGCCCCCTGATCTAGCTGTGTTCTTAAGTGGTAAAACTAAAGACATGATATATTACAAATACGTAATCATTGGCCTTTTTAGATGCATAATTTTTAGTGTTTTTTTCTTTAGTGGTGAAAAGAACAAGGAGTAATTCTGCCAAAATTATAGTATAGTTGGATTCTTCTGAATGTTTTGACAAGATATGAAAACAGGGTATTGAGTAAGAAGGGGTGAAGGCAGATGAATGAAGAAGGCTTGCTTGTTTAGAAATTAAATTGATGGGCTTGATGTATTGATTGTAAAATGTACACTGTCATTTAAGGATGTCCACAATAGCTTTAGAGAAGAGCCTTTCAGGTACAGAAATCTAACCTCCTTTAAATATAAGCAGAGGTTCAGTGTCAGCTAAGATTAAAATCACCTGTTATTTCTCCTCTTGAGATTCTAATTTTCATTGCTTATAACTTTGTCAAATTTGGATTGAAATTTTCTGTGATGGATGTTTGTGCAAGGCTGAATGTTTCAGGGAATTCCCAGTGTGTCTTTCCCTGAGAATGAGACTTCAGGAAATGCAAGCTGGATTGGGATATCAACTCTTACACTAATGTCACCGAGAAACTCTCACTCTTCCATGGGCTGAAGTATTTTGGAAGGGTGAACACATTGTCTTTTGCTAGAGTGCCCATAACCAAGGCAGACCTCATTTTAAAATGAAGAAAAAAGCTTTTTTGTCCTTTCTATGTAATCTAGATGTACGACTTCCCACCACAAGTCCATGGAGGCATCTATAAGGGGAAACAATTTCAGCTCTTTAGCGTTGCCGCTGTTTTTCTTAACTCTGCTCCTCCCTAAAATGAGCAGCACAATTAAAAGCCTCTTTGGTCTAACTCCCAGAGCCCTGATTAACTGAAGATCAGATGTTCTGGATTGAGGCCTTCAAGATATGAGAAGCTTTTGCTGTGGATGTCAGTCCTCTCTCGTGAAAGATGGGAAAAAGCACAAGGACAGACGAGAAGCTCCGTCTATCAGCCCAATTGCTAAAGTGCCCCTGGATGTTTGTGTATGTATCGTTCTGTGTATTGAGCAGAGTGTTTAATTTTGAGCTAACAAATAATTGGCTAAAATAGTACTCCAAGTGCAACACTCAGCTGTTTGTATTTTGAGAACACTCCTGACAAGCTCTGTGATAGTGGCTACTGTACCCTTTGACTGAGTGCGAGTCAGGATTGGTTCCTCAGGGAGAGAGTGCCCACCTTCTGGCACAGGACAAACACAGCCCTGATTGTACTCGGAGCTGCTTGTGAACAGTGACTGGCAGTGGCAACCCAGCACACCACCAACCCAGCTCCAGCAGCCCTTAAAAAGTGTTGACCTCAGCATTCCCTTTGGTTTGTGTACTCTTTTCCGTAGAGCAGTAACGATAAGCAGAAAAGACCTTTGTGAACACAGCAGTGCTGACTTGTTTCTGATCTTACAAATGACATGGATCACTTCTCTGCCACTTCTTTAACTAGTTCAAAGATCAAGTCAAGCATCAGTGTCCACGGAAAGTTACCGTTTCAGCAAGGAGGCTAAGCTGCTCCTCATTTTGCTGTTTTCTGGTGTTGTTTACTTACTTCTGGTGGAATTCTCTCAATGTGAGGAATATACCAGCAGCCCTGACATTCCTGTTGGAAAGCTTTGTGCAAATATTTACTGAGAGATTGCCCGTTTATCCCTTGTTCTTTTGCTATGTTCATGATCACCTCAGTCAAAAACACTTAATTCTTATCACTGGCAGTAAGACTGTGGAAGAATCTTTACAAGAATCACCCCTTGGTGCTGTTTTTTTCATATTCCTGTGCAAGTCACCTCATCTCCACACGGAAGACTAGGAGACAATGTTAATAACAGGATGCCTGTGAGTGCTCCATGGCTGGAACCTACTCATCTGCAACAAACACCCGAGCAGTGTCCAAGCCTGTGCACTAGACAGGAATGCAGAGGGGGGTGAGTTGATTTGTTACTAAAAGAGATATTCCCCATTACTTCTAATTATTCATAAACCTAGGTTAGTAATTTCTGTGCAAGAGCTGGTTTTGTGTACAAACCTCTCTGCAGTCATTTTTATACATCAGACATACTTAAAAAAAAAAAAAGGCATACTTCCCCATTTCAGATACATACTTTTTAGTCTTGATTTTTCTCAGCCTGATTGAACTCAGTGCTCTTGAAATCAGTATATCAGGGATGATTCAAATTTCTCAACTTTAGCAAACAAATATTTGAATCATTGACTATGGTAACTTTCAGGGAGGAACCTAAATCACCTGGCAAGGACATATGAAGCCTTTAAAACATGAGTTATGGGTGTAACTTGATCAGAAAACATAAGATTAATAAAATATGCATGGAAAATTGAGTAACTTGCACTAATTAGAGGTTAAGGAAAGTGGAAAATAAATGGGTTCCTGAGAAGGGAAGAATCACAAAGAACAGGGCTACAAATTGCTGCAATTCTCACTTTTGCTGTGCTGTCTGCCCGCTCCTGTTCCCGCATGAACAACACCAAGAGGTTACAAGTTATGTTGCTTTGTCATTCCTGTAGTCACCTTCTCTCTTTCCTGATCAACTCACACCCATTCTGCAATAGCTGCAGCTATTTTTGTCACTACTGAATGTGTCTGAGAAACTACTGCCCCAGCCAGCTTATACAAATAAAGGCAAAAAAACCCCATACCCTTCCGGCAACTGACATGCAAATCATGGCACATTTTTAATGCACATTTTGTCATAGTCACCATCTAACGCATTACCCAAACCTTGGTTTACACCTGCAAACACAAGCAGGGAAAAGACACACACACACACACACGTGATACTTGCCAGCCTGAACCATGGGGTCTCCGTGGAACACTGAAGCACCAGCCCAGCTCCTTCCTACAAAGGAGCAGGTACCAAACTGAGAGGTGAACAGGAGTTAATGAAATTTTGTAGAAATGTAAAGATTAAATAAGGTGTGTTTGATTTTATTCTTGCACATAATTGCAGAAAATAAATACTCATTAAAATACCATTAACATATATTGTATTAAACCCACATATTCTGGGCAAACAAACTCCTTCCTATGAGTACTTACTTCCCCCATGTTACCAAAAATGCACACTCCACCTGATACAGAATCTTTTACAAAATTATTGGCTTACCAGAACACAGATGTGCTTTAATCTTTCTTCCTGAGAGATGTAACAATGCAGATACTGCTTTACTGCATGTACTAGAATTTTTTCTGATAGAGTAAACTTGCTATTTTGTCAACACTCATATTTTTTTTAATCTTTGAGTTTAATTTCTCCCCTATGAATTGGTCCTGTGATTCAGTCAGGCATCTTTATGACGTTTGTAAAGGGCACAGAATGAATCCAGACCCTCCTTTTTGCAGCCACAAACGTCTTTCTGGCATCACGCCTCCATGACACAAGTGACCTCACATTTTTAGAAGCCCTTGTGAAAGGGACTCACAGGCCTTACATGTTGCTGAGTCCAATGCTGCAGAGGCTCCCTAAGTGACTGCTCCTAAGGAGATAGTAAAATAAGCTATGAAAGACAGAGGAGAACGTCAATGAGTCCATCACTTTATCCCAGAGCTGGGATGTCAGACCATCTTCAGAGTCATTACACAAGAGCCCTCAGCCTTCAGGCAGGATTCACTCCCTTGTTCAGACAGTCAGGGTACCACCCAAAGCATTTGACAGACTGCACATAGTTTGCTTATCTTTTTTTTTTTTCCTACATAGTTGTTTAAACTATAGAAATTTGCACCAAAAAATTGAACTCTTAAAGTAGAAAATACATCTTTTCACATATTTTAAAATACAGATTCAAAGTATCAAACACATTTACTTACTATTTTTCCTTAGTTATCATTAAACTAATGATAATTTTTCTCATTCCTATATTTAACCCAGAAAGTATGTCCTTAATAAACTGCAAGAATGTCTAATGAAACATGATTCCACACTTAGGACAAACACATCTGTCATTGTGCAAGAGTGACCAGCAATTAAGACAGATAAGAATTCTAATCCAGTATCTCAAAAAATCATTATTTAACTCCAGAGACATACATCAGCACAACAAATTTGTATGAAGATAGAGATGACAAACGGACAAATAAAAGAACTTAAGGACTGAGAAAAACTACGAAAAGGAATTCTTTTTATGAGCAATGAGCAGAAAATTTGCTCCACAGGAACAGAAAATAGATAATCTATGAATATTTAAGAGAAAGCAATCAATTTACTCTGTCTATGCTATAACATATGACTAGTGTTAAACATACTTTTGTCCACATGGAAAAAACAAGCAAACAGAAATGCTAGATACATATAGAGACATGCTATTTCCCTTTTTATGGTAATACATTTCCTCAGGTTAAAGAACAGGATACCCCAAGGAGTTCTTTAAGCTATTAATGCATAAGATCACAAAAGATGTACCTGTAGATCAGTAAACTTTTTATTTCCAGGAAAAAGGTAACATCATTTGTTCAAGGAAATTCAGGTCTCACTTGGATCAAAGACCAAATATCAACTGACTTCAGTGACAGAAGGAACTGACTTTCAGGATTAAAAGCCATCAAGCTACACTGTGTTTTAGAATCATCATTAAGTTTGAGCCTGTAAGGACTGCACACTATCATGTGTATTTAAGTTTTTTCTTTTTTCTCTCTTTTTTTTTTCCTTTATCATATCTATACCAATTACAGATGACCAGGTCCTGAATCCCTCAAGTCAAAGCAATGCATAACGTGTATTGACTGTTCGTAGCAGGATAACCCCCAAGTCTGTTATTTGGCAGGTAAGAAAGTAGAAAAATTAATTCTAATTGTTCTTTAGTGTCTTGTTAGACTGTACTGTCCCCAGCACTCAAGGCTATGGAGTTTAAGACAGAACCTTGTACTAATAAAAGAGGGAGTATCAGTGTGAAAGAACCCCAAAATAATGCAATTACTTGCTCTAGGGGAGGTATGTGGTTGCAATGTCAGGCAGTAGCAGTTTAATTCCTTATTAGGTCTATTGCATGACATTTTCTTTTTTCGCATGGTTAAACCCCTGTTTAAGGCAGGGCATGTGGGGTTTGGCAACAGATCTTGCAGATAAGGAGAGTTGTTCTGCTCCGGAAGTGGAGGGGGGTCTGAAAGCAGTGGAAGAATACCAGGTCTGGCCTTCAGCAAAATAAAAAACCACAGCATGTGAGTCATCCTATCTTCAGTCATCAAAGTATGTATTCAAGTAGTTCTCTGAATAATGATGGGATTACTCACACGGGTAAGGTTAAGCACATGCTTTTGCTGAACTAATATATCTGGACAGAAGCCATAGTATTCTATGCAGTTCTCTTTGGAGGTTTTCTCTGCAAATACTGGAACACCCACAGAATTGAAGGAGCACAAAGATCCCTTTCAGCTCTCCATGTGATTACGACACAGAAGCTCCCTGAACCTAAACTTACTGATTTTGCTTGGCTTTGAGGCATGTTAGTCCTCATATAGGATATGATTTTGTCCAAATACGAGGACCAAAATGCTACTTGATACTCTAGGACAGCACAGTGAAGAAAAAGTCTTTTATAAGGGGATATAAGCCATTATTGTGATTTCAGAAGTCATTGAGACTAATGACTGTGCAGATATAATTGAAAAATGTGACCATTAAACTCTACAGTATATAGAATATTTATCTACAGTAATATAGATGTCTTATTTTGGGGTACACAGCAAAGAAGTAAATAAAGGAAGACTTGTTTTGATGAGATTGTACCAGCTAGGCATGAGAACAGGTGCTTAAGATGAGAAGAACTCTGATTTCAAATCAGGGCTGACAGGGTTCATGCAGCCCAAGCAAAAGAGGGTTGTCAGAATCCCAACACACCGAAGTGTCATGTGTCACCCCCTTCAAACCAAGGGTGGCCGAGAGAAGAGGGTACAGATCCTCAGGCAAGGAAGAAACCCCCAGGCCTGGAGGTAGACTGAAAAAGGGGAGGTGGGACAGGAAGCCATAAAAATAGCAGCCAGTATGATGCATTTCTATCTATCAGTTTTCTGTGGTCCACAGTCATAGGGTACGATTGCTGCACACGAGGTGTAACAATAGTGAGACATTTACAGACACTTTGACTAAACCAACTGGAATAACTGGTAACTCTTCTATTGATCAGTGTCCTCCAGCTACTATTTTTTAAATTATATTTTTTTAATTGATTTCATGCGATATAAGTTAAAAATGAGCTACAGACAGCTGATCTATGAGAAAAATGTTATGTAGATACAATGCCTACTAATCATTCATTAACAACTAAGTCCACCTCTGTGCAGACAGCCCATTTGTGAGTTATTCTGCTCCACTGGGGCCTGAGATGGAGGCATTTGGCAAAGCTGCTGGTGTAGCTCTTGAAAGTTATGAAGAATCTGATGATAGATCCGAGCTGAAATAATTGAGAAGGGGAGCACTGAAATAATGGTCTGGAATGAATGTGACTTTCAAAGGCATCAGACATTTTAGTTTACCTAAACTAAAAAGGACTTACTAAGACAACAGTAGATCCAGTGAACATTTTTTTTCTAAACCACTAATAAAAATACATTTGCCATTCAACAGAATGAAGAGTACACAAACTATTTGCACATTTTGCAAACTTAGTATTAGTTTTTCAGTCAGAAGTGGTTCCACAGAATACTTTCCTTTGTTAGCAATGGCACCTTTTCTAGTAGAAAACCAGAAAAAAAAGAGAATAAATTAGTTTGACTTTGAAATTATTGATACAACTTGAGGCAAAGTTAGGGCTTCTCTTGCATTATACCTGTTTGAGTTTACCATGTTTTGAAGTCTCAGGCCTGTAACTGTCAGCTGCAACAGGATGGGAGCAGACAAGGCACTTTGTGGTTGGGTCTACAAATCTAACTGCAGAAAATGTGAAGCAAAGCACTGGCATATTTTTACATATGTGTAATCAGGTAGGTTCCAACACTTAGAGTAATTATTCCAAATGGTCACAGCAAGTCAGACAAGTTTTCTAAAGGATCTAGAATCCTGTCAAATTTTCTGCAGTACCTCAGTCATGTGGAAACATATTTTTTTTATATTTGCTCTGTTGAAAAGTCAAGACTGGAGACAAATTAAAAGGCACAGATACTATAGAATGGTCACATTTCTTGAATAAAAATATCTTATAAATTATATAATGATTAAAATTGGAAACAGCCATTTTGCTGTTGCTTTATTTTTCAGTGTTGACTGTTTCTTGACCAAACATCTCTATCTTTTCTAATGCCGCACCACTGTCTGCTGGAGGAGTCTTTCCTGAACAGCTTGTCTTGTTTCTTCCCATTTCTGTAGCTTCCACCAAAGTATTAGTCAATGGTTTTCCCAGTGTTTCTGGAAGCATTATTGTTAATATTCCACTCAGAAGAGCCACGATTCCAACGATCAACTAGAAGAAATAAACAGTAGCTGTAAAGGTAGAAATGTCTTTCAAGTTATGCACCTCTTTGATCTTGCTTGAACAAACATTTAAAATAAAGCACAAGGAACTATAATGTAAAGCAAAGATCGTAAGTCTTAAATGTTGACTATATAAAAGATCTGTCTTTTTTGTTGCATAAATGAAAGATTATGCAGCAGAACTAATGAAGAGTAAGTGAAGTATTTTGTTCCACTAGGGATGAATGCAGTGCAAACAGGAATAGTTCTGCTTGAGAAAACAATACATATATCTTCATTTGGTATTTCTACTATCAGGTATGTATTTAAGAACTGATTATAGGATTGCATGCATTTTTACATGCATGTTCATAGCGCTACAATTTCCTTGCCACCTGTAATCTCAGTTTGTACTCTAACTCCTGAACCTATTCCCCCTGTACCTCTGTGCCTGTTCCTCCTGCAGACACAGATCAGAATTTCTCAGTATGCATCACTGCTGGCCTGGAGCCACAGAAGTACACATCCCTGCTCAGGAGAAGACCTCAGCAGATAATAAATCTAGGTCTCAATAGGATTACTTTGCTAAACTGCAGTTTCAAGGATCTTTTAGAGGTGCAGGCATCTACTGACATTTGTGGTGGGATCACATCTTGGGTTTGTACATGGTGTACACAGTTCCATAGTGACAGCTCACTTCAGCATGAGTGGTGCAAGGATCGGGACCATGTGTGGTAGATTCAGAAGCGCACACATGCTCCAGGAGTATCTTTTCCTTTCCTTCATTTTCATGCCTTGTTCAATGAGAACAATTCACACTTTCCTCTTCTGAAGTACAGAACAGCATTAAAACCCTGACATTCTTCCAAAGCCAGGTTATAAATGACCCAAATCTCTCTTGATAGAAATGCTTCCACAGAGTACATCATGCTTGGCCTCAGTATTTTTCCATTTTATGACTGTGCACTTTGATACTGTATTATCATTATCTCGCCCTCTGCTGATTCTCAGGTCTGTCCTGTTTGTTCTATGCTTTCTTTCCAAGTGTGAGAGAGAGCTTTTGGAATCACTGTGCCTATGTCTCTCACACAGAGGTTGAGACAAGAACTGGCCAGCTGCCACCTGCATCTAAGCCAGACTTTCTCCTTAGGTCAGAAAGGTGCTTTAAAATTGGAATTCTCCATTGCTATTTTCATGCAAATGCACCGTGCTGCTTTTGCCCCCCCTCCCTCCCCACTTCCAAAGAGGAGGACAGCCTGTCTCAACCATTCTTTTGAGAAGCAGAATTCACACCGTTGCATACACTCCTCTTTTTGCACTTGCATTAAATATAGAGGCTGACAAAAAATTAAGCAAAATACTGTTGAGTACTACGAACGACAGTGAAAATAATATAGTCTTGTTCTTACCATGAAAAATTAAAACAAAATCCTAGCAGTAACGGGACCAGGGGAAATGGCACTGAGTGATAAACTGAGGGAAATCCTTGTAGACATATATATGTGGCAGGAGTGATATTTAAAGATATATTCCAAAATAATAAAGTCTCACCTCTGAGTGTTAAAACTCTTCTCCTCTATTAAAACATGATTTTCTGCCATGGTAAGGCAGGGTGAATTGACACATGGCAGCTATTCCACAGTAACCTGTCTGATGCATGTCCTTTAGGTTGTCATAAGTTTGAGGATAATGAGGGCTCTAAAGGATATTGAAGCTTATGGATACCTGTACACTTGGAGTTTATGAGACCAGGGTCACTACTGATGCTCAAGAGAAGGTTAAAGCAACACTGTGTGCTTTGAGTATGTGTGTCTCCTCCTCTTCAGTTAGTCTTTTAGACACTTTTCATTCTTCTCATGTTTTCCTTCCTCATAAACCTACCTCTCATTCCCCTGCAGACTCTCACTATTCTGTCAGTGTACACACCACCATCTTTCCTGCCTTTTCATCTCAGCTCTCTTAACTCTATTCCATCAGGTTAGTGTTCGTTTTTCCGGTGTGAAAGCTGCTGCATGACGACTAACTCAGCGTGTCTCCCTTCTCCCTAACCCTAACAAAGCATTTTCCAGTATTTCCAACAAAAGACAGAATATGAAACAATTAAGTCACAGTATATTAACAAAAGGACTTCTCAGATGTCATCTACCTTTTCAGGGGCAGTAAGCACACTTATCAATGAAGTTACTGACATTTAGTCAAAGCAAGTCTTTTGCAGTCTTATCTTGGCATATTTCTTCATAATACTTCTGACATAATTTAGCTCTTGCTCATAACAAATGTGTACATTTTGTGTGTACTATTTTACATATATAATTCAGCATCAGAAAATGTTCTGACATAGTGAATTAAATACTTACGGATTGAAGTGGACTATTGAACAAATGAAGTATTTAGGTGTGTTTAAGCTCCATTGAAGTTAATTTGACAGGAGTACCTGCTTAAATTAATTGCTTTCTTGGGGTCTTAATTTGAAATCTGACTTTCTGCTTAGTCAAACTCTCAAAGTATTCCCAACACTTCAGTACAGCCAGCAGCTTCTAACAGCTGCCATAAATAACTTCAAAAATAGATTTACCACCATTTTTCATGTCTTCCTCCCTACCCAGAGCAACAATTTTAATTTCACAGTGGTCTAAGACCAGGACTTAATATATTCAGTCTAGAACAAAAGATAATTTGAATTAAATATCCATATAAAATACTTTTATCCATATAAAATACTTTTCATTCTGAGAACAAATGATTAGTCTGCTATTTATATTTCTATCCACATATGATGTCTCTGAACCAATTTAAAATGTGATCTTATTTACAAAATTCCTACTTCAACAAAAAAAGATTAAATTTTGTCCTGAAAATCCACTAGTATTAGACATAGGATTTGCATTCATTTAACTTTACCAACCTTAGTGAAGGTTTGGTGGTTTTTTTTAAATTTATAATTTATGGTTTATCTGAGAGAAAAATCAAGTCTGTTAAAGGGCTAATGTGACATAATTCTTAGCAGCTGAGAAATAGAAGTTGGTTATACATGGAGTAGTTGCTTTATTGTAAGTTTTCTAGAAAGTTGTCACATGAAAAACATACTTGGCAAGTTATTTGAGATTTGTAGGCATTCAAATGAGAAGTATTAATCACAGGTGGCATAACTGTACATAAGGCAGGCTATCAAATAGCAGTAGTAACTAATTGACAATGTGTGGTGTATACAATAGATCAACATGATGTGTGTCAGTTTACTTACAAATGTAATCTGTTTCATTTCATTTCCATTCCAAAACACTTGTGTTACCTGAGACTTGGCATGTTACGCTCCAACTCAAGGCAAGCCTATTTAATAAACCGACAAACGTTTTATAATAGGAGCTAATAATGAAAATATATTCACTGTGAACTACTACACAACTCTGCAAATACTCTGGATACTTTTTGTACACTGGGAGTTACTCATAGCTGAAATAATTCCTGTGTATACTGCCATCGACACAGCTCTCCAGCATGTTTGAGCATTCCCCATCTGTGGTTTAACTGCAGCACTTCTGCACAGATAAATCTTATCTCAGCCAGTAAAGGCAAAACACTGACAAGAGAAAAAGAATGTTTTCCCACGACCACTATGTTGTGCAAATGTTTCTCCGTCTTTTCTGGGATAATATCTTGGTTCGTATGGGGCCATTATTAAGAAAGAAAACATTTTTTAGGAGCTTGAGGGAATAAATTAAATTGTGGTCTGCTTCATCCTTTTAACTTTCTTCCAAAACAACTGAAATTAATTAATTTAAATAATGAAAAAAGTTCCCAAGAATTCTCTGAAACCAATCTCTAGCATCTATAATTGAATAATTTATAGTTGCAAAATCAAAAGGACACAATGCCACTTTTTCAGGAAATTCCAATGTGCTAGACAAAAGTAGAGTAAGAATCTAGGTGAAAGGCACATTCTATTACATTTGCACCTTCTGACGTGTAAGCTACATATAACATTGGTGTGCTAGTCAAAGTGAATTCTCAGGGTTTTTGAAAGTACTGAAACTATTTTAAAATCATTAATAAACCCTTCTTTACTTAAAGCTTTAATATAAACTTCATAATTCCTTCTGTTTTTAAATGTGTGGGCATAAATTATCCTTCAGGAGTAAAAAAGGGATTGAATAACTGCAGGATTCCTAAGCAGAAAATGCTTCATAACACAGATGTAATGAAGAAATGTGATTCATTTGCGAGCAGGAAATACATAAAATATTTTGTCCAAAATAGATTTGAAGCTACATAATGCAGACAAAATGCCCAAAGTCCATGAAGGAATAGTCCCACCTCTCTTTTCTAGGGGCAACTGGAGGTAGAAGCCAAAACCTAATGGTAGTGTGATCTGGAGTCACCTACAAGTAGGATATGCTTAGTGCATCCAACCAAGGTCCTGTTGCTTGTCACCGTGAACCTCATCAAGACACCATTGGCTTCTCTGTTTCTATCTCATTAATTGTTTTGTTTCATTCTTGTAAAAGAAAAATGCACAAAGGGAGCTTTGGGACAGCTGTGAAGACGAAGTATAGTAAGCACAAGACATTCTTGATCCTTTGGAAGGCTATTCCAAAGATGCAATGTCCTAGGGAAGCCATGGAAAAGACTAAGGAATAAAATTAAGAAAAACCAATCACCCATGTGGAATTCCAAGAATGGAAGAATTATACCTTTGAAAAAAGGCAAGAGTAAATCATGAGCATGGTCAAGAACTGCTAGGCCTGCAGAGTAAAGAAGTATGGATTAAGACACTTCCTGAATGCTACATGGTAAATAAAGTATTTTTTTATGGGAGATGTTTTTATCAATTTTATATTAGGATTCAGAGCATATGTATGTTTATGTCTTCCATCGTAAAAACTTTTCAGAAGATTTCAGTGACTCAAAGTCTCCCTTCTGCTTTAGCTGTGAATTTTTAATAACATGAAGTTACTTTGAGACTTAAAATTTAGAACAAGAATGGTTCATTCAATTTCCTTTTCAAAATAAAAATTCAGTGTTTGGTTCCTGAGAAAACAAGTGACACATAGGCCTTTTCAAAACCAGAAACATTCGCCATGGAAATAAATACTTACAAGTGGCATGAAAATCCAAACACTTCTCAGATATACACAGAAAGGAGCAACCACGCTTCCTACACGGCACATCATGCTTCCACTTCCAACAGCAAGCGATCTACACATAAAACAAAGACTCTGATAAGAATTCTGGCAGATAAAGTAAACAATTAGAAACGCACAGACACTCAAAACATCAGTAGGATGATACATGTCTTTATGCAATGGTACTAGGAAGCTATTGTTACTGCAGTGTAAATTTATATTGTCGTGAAATTCAGCTGCTTCTGTAATTAAGATTAAAAATGCAACAATAATTCAGCAGACACCACAGGATGAACAACCAGGAATTTTAAGTCCTGTTTAAGAAAGTATTGAGTGTTCTTCTAGTTATTCAATGAAACCAAAGTATGCACATGGAACTGAAAAACAAATAAAAATTTATTATACAGCCAAATACTAAATTCTGAAGCAGCAGAGGAACTTATTCCATCCCAAGACTTTCAGACCACTGCCACTAATGTCCAGAGCTGCTGGATCTGGCCCAGGAGCATAACAAATAAAAGGAAATAACAGCAAAATAATGAAAAATGTATGACTGGTGAAAGTTCTTACCGTACAATTGTTGGGTACAGTTCAGCGGTGTAGAGATATATAAGGCCAAATGCCACACCTATTGAAAATTTTCCAGCCATATTTGCTAAGATAATTAATATATTGAAATCCTATTGAAAAAGAGCACAAATAAATAAATTGCCAGAAAATAACACTGTTCCAAACTTAAATTAAATCCTTCAAAATTTGTGACCGTTCTATAAATAATAAGCAATTCTTATTGCTTGCTATTTTGAAATCAGTCTCAATAAGTAACTACTGTCCATATAACTTTTTATAACCTGCACTGAAAACACAGAAAATCTATCTTAGATTGGCAGCCATATTTTAAAACAGCCTTTAATCAACTGTATGATTTAGAAAAGCAGCTGCATCTACAGACTTAAGAGCCTTTAAAATTAATTTCTACTATAGGAACACTTTCAACGGTACATGACTAACCTGAGGTATGAACATAATTAAAACACAGATCAGTGCACTTAAAATAAGGAACGGAATGAGTGTGTTTCTCCTTCCCAGTTTGTCCATCCCAATGCAAGCAATGATATAGCAAGGCAACTCCACAGCACCTGTCAGTATGAAATTATTTTGTTTTAAGTCATGATTAAACATATTCATGTTATAACTCTAACTTCCCCTTTATGGGGGTTCATTTAATTTAGGGGGCTTTGAATAAGTCCAATCTAGAGATAACCAGTGTGTTGGGTTACTTCATTTGGTAACAGAAATGGCAACAGAAGGCAGAAAACATGGCCTAAAATAAGGTAGCGGGAGATGGAGAAGGATGAGAGGTTTCACAGTGCAGAGCCACTCCAGTTCCCTTTGGGGTGGAAAATTACAGAAAACAGCAAGGCCGTGGTCCTGCTTTTATGACACTGCCACTTGTGAGTAAAAGCTCACCATTTCCTGCTCTTCTGCTTCACGTATTTTCATATCCACAGCTTAAGCGTGCCCACAAGGAATATTGGTGGTGTCACACCGACACACCTCTCAGGATTTGCCAGCTTCCACCTGGACACAGAACTGGAGCCACAGGTGCCTCCCCCAGCTTCAGCCCCAAATCACCCCAATGTAAAAGGCGAGCAAAGTCTCTCCAGGTCCAGTTTTCTGAGTCAGTTCCACAAATACAGAGAGCAGGGTTCCAGCTTTCTCTCTCTTCTCCATTAAAAAGAGGGCTGTTGCTTATAATATCCCACCCTTACTCAGATCCTCTCTTCCTAATGTCTCCTTCCAGAGAAAAACTTCTGCAGCACGAAAGGAACTAGGGTTTGCCTGGGACTGTTCACAAACCCTGTGTAAACATGATTTGCCCCTAGACAAATTATTCTGAGCCTAAGCCAGCTCGGACAGGTTTTAAGCCAACTTGCTCATGAAGAATGCTACCATGTCCAACGCAAGACTGAGGAAGAACGTAAGATACAGCCCTGAACAAACAGGCTGCATTCCTTTACTAAGCACGTATAGTATGTCAATACACTTATAATATCAGGAAACAATCTCTGGGGCCTCTGCTGGTAAAAGCAGGCTGCGGTTATTCAGTGTGTATTAGTCTGCAAAAATACTTCTGAAGGAGGTGGGTACTGTGGTTTATGCACTGTACTCCATCATAATATCTTTGTTTCTGTGCAACACTCCCATGCACTCTTCAGCATGTCACTCCACCAATACACTATAATACACAGCAGCACAGACTGAATTTACCAGCGCCCCAGCCCTTCTGTGTGCTTATGTACATCACCAGTCACTTTCACTTTACTGAGTTCACTCAGTTGCATAAAGCAAAGCGCATGATTTAATTCTTTGCTGGTCAGAGCTGCGTGCCTGATCTAGAGTCTTCTGAAGTCAATGGAATATTTCCACTGATCTTAACAAACTTTGGATCAGGCCTTCAATGCACTGAGCTGCCTTGATAAACAACCTTCGTACCAGAGGGACATTACAGTCAGACCGACAGAATTAAAAGAACAGTTACAATTAAATTAAAAATATACTTTGGAGAAAACTAAAATTACTCTTGCTTCTGAGAATTACAAATCTGTTTTCTACACAGACTGACGCAATATATTGTGACTGTAAGTGATTAAAGCAGTATTTTTTTTCTCTCATTTTCCTAGTTTGTGCCTTTAACAGAGCCCCGTGAATTTTGTGTTGCTGGTCTGTTTCCCTGGGTGTTTGTGTGGAACTGCTATGTGCTTGCAGGGCAAACAGGAGACAAGTAGAATGCGGTTTTACAATCACAAAGACAGACAGAGAAGAATTTTGTACACCAACAAATTTTAGATTCTCTTTTTTTTCCAGAAACAGTGATATTTGGAGTGAATGATACTCCTCCTGTGTGAGTCAACTTTATGAAGCCTTAGCAAGAAACTTCTTGAACAAGATTCATAATTGAATGAAGTTTAAAAATTGGCTGTCAAATCTCTAACCATTTCTAAATTTTATGTTCTAGTTCTGTCATAAACAGAATAAAGTGCAAAAATATTTACCTATGAGAAAGAGATTTAAATACTCATTGCCTCCTAGATCGACGGAACTGAGGGAGAAGACATAGTACCCCAAGCTCCCAGTGAACCAGATCAGCCAGACTGTGATGGTCCTTCTTGCAATGTGCCAATTGCAAAACAGATCTAAGATGTTGTGCTTCTTTGTTGAGGCCGCATCATTGCCACCCATTCCACCATCCACTAGATCGTCTTGTTGGACTGAGCACAGTTCAGAAACTTTGCAGGGAGTGCTTACTTTATTCCATCTTGCCATTATATTAATTACTTTTTGTGCATCTTCATATCTTTCCTCTGACAGGAGCCAAAAAGGTGTTTCTGGGAGCATCCAGCAGCATAAGACAAAGGGAAGAGTCGCTATGGAGAGAAATATCTGATAGACCCACCAGGTCCGAACCAAAAATCCCACGAGTGCCACAATCATAATTCCCATAGCAAAAAAAGCATGGACATGCATAGAAGCCCAGGTTCGTGCTTTAATGCCAACAAATTCAGTCACGTAAACAAAAGCCACAACCAGATAGCCACTTGAAACCTGAGGGGGCAGGAGAGAGAGAGAGAGAGGAAAAAAAAAAAAAAAAAAAGTGTGAGATTTGTATCTACTTCCTTGTGCAACAGAAGTAAAACCAACCAACCTACAGTGTTCCACATTTGTGTATGCTTAACTAATTAGTTAAATGTCACCACACTGGCATGTCCCACACTGACAGAAAAAAGGCAACCCTGAAAACGGATCAGCTGCAGAAAAAGCTAACTCAAACCTTCAGACTACCTGGACACTGTATTTAAAAACGTGAAGCAATTCTGGATGCTTCTCTGTAGTAGTGGGGGAGAGCCAGCAAGAGACTGAAAAAGAGCCTAATTTTCTGATGTCACTAAGCTGTTCACTTCCAAAAATCAGGTCCCTTAATGACATAGCATACAGGACACTTGGGAAAATGAGGTCTCCTGAAGTAATTGCCACTTCTGAAAGTCTTGACCTTGGCTTTTAAGTAGATTGTTAATAATCTGCATATCAGGGAACTGTAAATTTATTGCGAATTACCTTCCAAACCTTTGCAAATTATCTTATAAAATCAAATTTTTACAATGTTGGAAAATAATCTCATTTAAAGGTGCTCATACGTTATCTAGCCATATTAACAGAATGCAGTTACTGGCATGTTCTATATCATAGTATTTTTTCATTGAAAAAATATATATTATTGAATAAATATATATATTTCAATTTCTTTAACAACAGTCAAACTCTTGGTATCTCAAAACATTTCAAAACACAGCTAGAAAATCTAGACTAGAAAATATTCCAGTATATTTTTTTGATTAATCAAATTTCTCGTTAAAAATATTCCAGTTAATAAACTCTTACTCTGACCCCACTAAAACTGATAGGAAAGCTGTGCAGATCTCAGTGGCATGGGGCCAGAGCTTTAGACCTCCATCTCACAAATCAGTCCCAGTAGGCAGTTAAAACCTACAGCATCAGTCTGGTCAGAGCATTTTGCTTTTCTAAACTATCACAGCCCCAAGCAACAACAGCCAAGGAAGTCAGCAGAGGGACTCCTTTAGATCTCACTGCTCAAGGCTGAAATTCCCATGCAGTTTTTCCTGCTAGGAAAACCTTCTGAGCTCTAATCAGGCAAAGGGAGCTCCAGGTGCAAGGTTCTGTCTTGTCTAATGCACTGTCAGCAGGAATAAATTAAATTACGTGATTATTTCCAAATTTTTAACCTCCTTTAAATAACTTACATAATTTTTCTTGTGACAGCTTTCTAATTTCTTTATGCATTATATACTGAAAGACTACAAATAGCGTACTTTGGAATGTAGAATTGTCATTTAAAATTTGTTACTTTATATACAAAACCTGAGTAGATATTAGATATATATCATCCATATATACAAAAGTATGTGTATAGATATGCATAAATACATATACTGGAATACCCTTAAGTACATACATCCAGGTTTGAAAACATATCTACCTATTTATTGAGATGTATTTTAAAAGACCAGAGATGCATGGAAGAGAAAACGTGCATCTCTCCTCCATCACTCAAAAGGGTAGAGATAAAAATCATACTTATTAGAGATTTGTTATTTTAAGAAAAGTACACTCCATTTCTAACAATGAGGAGAAATTCAATGGTGGCTGCAATGCAGAAACCAGAGTTTGCTGCTCACACTTGGTATTTAATTACCAGTCCAGCAGAGGTTGGGATGGAGGAAGCACCAAACACTGCTTCATACGGATGCTTTCTATTAATTCAAAGAGGAAAAGTGCTGTGGTCCAAGAACATTCAGACTCTCCCTGCTCTGCTGAAATAAGTGCAACAGAGGGGGCTTTAGAATAATGAAGTAGAGGAGGAAAGAATAACAAAAGGGAGTTCTTCCTGAGAAGGGGTAGGAAATGACACACAAAAAGAGCCAGGGTGAACATCCTTTCTTACCATAGCAAGGAGAAAGCGCACAATCACAAAACTGTAGTAGTCAAATGTGAAGGCCACTGCGATGCCAAATATAAACTGACCGGCACTTGTGAACCATATAACTCGCTGTCTTCCCAGTCTGCAAATTACAGCAGTAATAAAAGTATGAATAACCACAAACATTCTATTAAAAAACACCTGCAACTCCAGATAGCTCATCTGGAAGTCAGTCTGGAAATACTGTAATACTAAATGCTCTCACTCACCACAGAAACTCTGGTTTAGTTACCTGTATTAATTTTCCAGTAATTCCAACTAAACTCAAGAAAAAGGAAGCTCCTATGGACAGAACTTCCATTCCACAATTCTTGGCTGGAAGAAACACGCAGAAGTGAGCATTACATATACCCATCTCCAGTTTCAAGTTCAACTTCTACATAACTAACCTGCAAATTTATTCTGTCTTATTTATGAGGACAATAGGTAAGACTTGCTTTTTATATTTTTTATATTAAGTAATGTCTAGTTTGTAATTTCTAAAAATAGATAGCTGTGACAACATATGCTATCTCTTGCCAAAGGAACAACCAATTTGGGTAGTAATGAAAGGCTTCTGTTAACATATCTTTGTCCACTTACTTAAAGTAGAATTCTCTAATAAATGACAGTTGTATAGGTCCCTGAAATTTCTGATTGCATCACAGCACACGTGCATGGATGTACAAACACAGAAATCCAGGAAGCTAGTTTATTAACAGGAAAAAAAACCATGTCAAATACTGGCTGCTCATCAACAACACAGTAATGTCCAGTCTAGAAGAAGGGCACCTAGCAAAGAGGAACTTCTATTTGTTTATCTTCTTTCTGCATCTCAGGGAAAAAACATACCAAGGAGAGTCAGTTGCCTCTAAACAAGTTCACACATGCTATCAATAGGAAGCTCATCTGAGGCAAAAACCTACAAATCTGCAGCAGATATATAACACTCTACAGGATTCATTATACAAATTTTCTGCAATACAAAATGCGCAGAATCATTTTTCTTCACTGATTATATTATCTTGGGCTCTTATTACCCACTACACTGCAAACAGCTTTTCACAGATGTGGATATGATGTTTAGCCAGAGAGCTTTAGGACTTTCAGGGGTGCAAGCTTGTTTGTTGTTTTTACTCTGTATTTGATACTACATTAAAACAACCCTGGAAAGTGATGTTTTAATAAGAGGTGTAGTCCAAACAGCCACATGACATAGTTCTTTCCAGTGCCCTCCTATTTTTCTCCAGCCTTGACCTGGAGTCATGCACATTTGGTCTCTGATCCCTGTCAGAAGAGATCCCTGTGAGTCCTTGCTGTCAGAGCTCTTCTGTTGGGAAATCTGTTAATTGGGAATGGGAGGAATTCACAAACTTATTTCCCACCAGCCAGGGTATGTAACAAAATAATAACTTTCAGCTGTAAAATCTACAGTTGCAAATCTGCAGCTCAGAATATGTGTATTATCTTAACTGGCTGTCCATGGCTTGAATTAATGGAAATGAGAACAATATGATTATAACCTTATAAATCATGTCTGTGTATTAATTAATAAAGCTATGAATGGCTTAAAGGGATGCAGAATAAATGTTGGCATTATATTCTGGGTTCATATTAAATACGGTTTTGCAAAGCCTTGATTTGGGAGGCAGGATTGATTCCATGTGTTCTAAAAGCCAAATTAAAAAAAAAGATCATTTTTCTTTTGCATTTCCATGTTGTAACTGTCACACCGTAGCATTGTGCTAATAAAAGAAAATCAGAAAACAACATGCCTGGTCTCCTTTTTCTGCTTATGCTGTTAGCTGTGGGATAAAATGTCATCCTCCACCTAAAAGAGCTGTCAACAAGCTCCTATATATAGAAAGAGAAGTAACACTGAACCAGCCTTCAAATCAATATACAGGTACATAAACTGCCCAGGACACAATCAAGTACAACGTAGCTTAGGTGTTTGACTCTCATATGGATAGAGGGGCATGGCTAAGCATTCTTCTGTGGTAGGAATACGTGTTTGTGTTGAGAGAGAAATCCAAGAGAAGCAGGAGGATACAGATGTATATCTTGGATCTCACTATTGCTTCTGAGTCCAGTTGTGATGGTGGATTTCAGTGCGTGATCTGAGATAACATCCAGGGAGGAAGCATCAGAGAGGAGCAGCTGAAGGACAGCCTTGGCACCATGACCAGAGGACTGGTTGGGTTGAGCTCCTCCAGGGGCTGACTCTACTCGTCAGCATGAAAGTCGTATGTGCTGGTAAATACGTGAAACTACAGCACAGCTCACTGACAACCATTTTTTGTCCCATCTGGATTAACCTTCAAGAGAGTGAAGTTTAAGCTAACAATTCAGGAAAAATCCACAATTGGACAGGAAGGAAAAATAGTGTATGGGTGTGTATTTTAAGAACATGGGGCCTGATCAAGACCTCAAAGCCTTTGCATCAGCCCCACAAAGCTGTATTCATGACAGATGTCGGGAAATTTGTGATTTTGAAATACATGATTTTTAACCTTCCCTGCCCTTCAGCAGTTTATCATATCCACAAATAAATATCTATGTATTCATGAGGACTCTTATGGAAAATTAGGAGAAAATCTACTCCCAGTTTTTACTGTTGCTATTACTACTGACTATTGCTATTCCTGTTAAAAAAAAAATAAATTAATCTAAGGGTAAATAGTAGCTGCACAGGGAAATTTGAGGGCTCAAGACCTAGAAGAATGGATGATATAAACTAGAAAAAAAAAATTGTAAAAGCAAACGATTTGCAAATACAGTTTAAAATTAGTACTTGTTATCGAAAAAAGAAACTGAGTTAAACACATCTGTGAATAAAACTATACCCAAACCTCCTGAATTGTGAATACCTAATTATGAATACACAATGAATGAAAACATCAAAACAGGTGGATACATGTGGAGTTACTGCAGTCTGAAGTTACAACTTTTAGAGGATGGCACTTTACCTGTCAGCAACGTCACCGAAAATCACTGCTCCAATCAGGACTCCAAGCATGAATGTAGGCTGGATTAATTTTGCAAGCCATTCTCGGTCACAGACCAGATCCCACTGCGTAACAACAGTGCTCTTCCATTTTGTATCATCATAGAGAAATCCATCAGAACAAGAAAATACTGTCTTGTTGCCTTTGTATTCATATGCCAGATCCAAACTCATTTCTCGTTTGGACCTGCTGCATTGATTAAGTTCCCAAATTTCTCCATTTTCCAGACGGGCTACAATGTAATTTTCTGTTGATGTCCATAGTGTCCAGATGTCCTCTAAACTTGATTCAGAAGAGTTGTAGAAGAGAACACTACTCACGTTTCCAGGGATCCCACATACAAAGTTAGGAGTAACAGCCATGAACACAGAGGCCAAGTAATGGATACCACATGACATAGCTTGAAAGACAGATGCAAAATAAACAAACGCTTGAAATCTGTAAAGAGAAAGAAAAAAGCTTACTGAAGAAAAGCCTTTTATACACGAAAAAAATAATCAACATAATTATTTTGCTAGGATCAGTAAATGCAGATATCATTAAAGCATCTAGTGGTTTGTTATATAGTGCTGCTCAGTATTGGCTAAGCCCTGCAAGAGACCAAAGATGAGAAAAGATCCACAGCAGAAGTAATCTACTGTCGGGAAATAAATGCTGCTCTTAGGCATGTGTTTTGCCATACACAAAAGAGACCATTTAAAAGAAACAAATCTGAATTTAAGCACTTCGTTTGAATGAACCTTCTACCCTCCAACTCCATATAGTGCATCCTCTCAGAAGAAGGCCTTAGATTACTGGAATGGATAGAAAAACCAAAAAGTTGCAACCTCAGGTTCTGAGGGATACAGATATGCGCATCAAATAAAATAAACCAAATACATTATGCCCTTCATGTCACCTAATTGTACTTATATACCCGCATTCCATCTATCTTCCATCTCTCTTTATTGCCTCCAAAAGACAAAGAATACATGTAGACACATGTGGAGAAAGATAGAATCTGAGCAGCATGAAATGTTTTGTACCAAAACATACCTGTGAACTGGGTTGGGTTTTGGCTTAAACAGCATGTGCAGTTATGCATTAAAGATTGTATCATAAAGCAAACATGGTAAAAGGATGTTTTACGCATAGCCTGAGTTTTGGCATTTTAATAGCTTTTAAAACACGCTCGAGATGCAAGTAAATCTTTGTATATAAAATGCACATGTGTTCTGAATGTCAAAAGACTTGCAATGAATTTTCACTGATCGCAAATTCTAGACAGTTTCTGATAATCTAAGCATAAGGAGTCTTTTTCTCAATTAAATGTTAAACTTATGCATGGAATTAGTACAACATCTGTGCATAGCTTTGGTTTCTCCTCCACTTTTTATTTCCCAAAGGCCAATCAATTGTACTAATTTGAAGAAGTATTCAATGAGCTTCTATGTATACATCATTACTGCAGTATTTGCTGGGCCTTGATAGTATGAAATGAAAAACAGGGTTTATAATATCAGAGGCTATCTCTGCTGAAGTTATGGGAAATTATGCCTTAAAAACAATTGCCTTAACATGGCTCATGTGAAAAGTCAGAGCAATTTCAAGCCCCATAACAAATATGACCTCTAGATCACTCCTGCTCCAAAATATATCTAATCTAGGCTTGAATTATGATACTAAAATTTGCAACAATACCTAGCCCAGCACTTTTAAATTATCTGTCATCACAATTTGTAATGAATTTCTAAACTATCTGTAAGCAAAGTATTTAAACATAATTTGCTGGACACATTGTCTTAAACTGCTAAAACCACCGTGGCAGCTCAAAAGCTGGCTCCACTTCCCTTTTGAAAATGTTGCAAGACAATCCTCACACAGGTGCTCCCCTGCTTTCTCAACAAACCTTTTGAGAGATACGGTTAAGAGAAACCAAACATAAACCACAGCATCCCTTAAGCCTATCAATCCCCTCCCAAAAGAGCAGCTTCTTGAGGACTAAGTAGCTAGCCATAAATCAAAGCAAGGCTAAACCTGCTCTGAAAAGCTTTCTGACTATCTTGAACCACAAAACCCCAAAGATTATTCTGAAATATAACTTTTGTTCCCCTATTAATGCAGACAAATATGGTCAGCAACATTTTTTAGTTCCTCTTCTTAGTTTCATTTTAACAGTTCCCATCAAAAGACACAAACACATTTTAAAAATAGCAGGGCAAGACCAAATTCAACAAGTTGGCTATTGTTGCAGTATGCAGAATGATATCATTCTGCAATATGCAATCAGGACTCGAACACCTCTAGCAAATTACCAAATGTAATACCTTTTAAGTTGTTCAGTTACATCTTCCACTAGCTAATAAAAAGTACCATACCTGGAAACGGGATCCCCAATATTTGCAGTATCTGTCATTAAGCAGCAGAAAATTGCAGTGTCAAATAGCCCAGTTGGTATTTTCCAGACAGAGGAAGAATTAAATAATCTAAAACTCCCATATATTAATCTTGAGTTTCCTAATGAGCTCTCACAGTAAGAGACATATGTTCATCATTTCTCTTCTACCCAGTAAGACTGAGCAGGAAAAATACTTTAATGCCCTTTCTTGCTGGAGAGGCTTGGAAGAAGATGACAACTCGTAAGGAAAGGATACAGACTGAGAAGATGGCATGAACCAATGCATTACATTATTTTAAAAAAACAAAATCCCAAGGGCATCACGAGGGCTATGATTTTGATCAGGTTTAGCTAATCTCTGCTCTAATTGCTCCCTTGAGAGTTTTATCTTATCTCTTCCTGAACATCTCTTGTGATCGTACTTCAATAACCATTTTGACAGACTGCTCCACTGTCAAATCTTTCTGTTGGAAAGTTACTCATTAAATGTAATCTTGATGTCCCCTTTTTCAGTGGAAGACTATTAGCACCTTATAAAACATCCTTGTGCAACCTTGAATAAATCTTCCACGTCTTTTATCACTTTGTTGTACAGAATTATCAGTTATCTCCCTTGCTATTTACTTTCTAAAACTATATACATTACGAGCCCTTACCTTTTCATCATTTTTCCTTTGTGTCCTATAAAATAGTTTCCACCTTTATAAAAAGCAATAAAATATTTAATTTAAAGAAATACCTATGCCATGCCATCTCTCAGGGGTTTAACCTAGAACTAGATATAACTGATTCTTGGAAAAACATTCTTCCATTTTCAATGTTATGAAAATCTTATTCAGTACGAACGAAGAAATCCACCCTGTAGTATCATTATTTTTCTTACCTAATTTTCAGCACCCTTGCTAAGCAAACAGAAAAAGTCAAACAGAATGCCAGATATACATTAATAGACATAATTTATGCTGTCTATGACTTAATTTAAGAACAGAAAAATGTGTTTTTACAGCAAAATGGCCATGTTGTTGCAGAATCCTGCAAGATGGATTGCACCGCAGTTTTTAACCTCTAACTGCTCTATAAAAAAAGCCAAAGAGCAGGGAGGGGAAGCACAAATAGGGAAGAACGGGGTCTGATGTGAAGCTAGAAAAGTGTTTGGCAGCACCAGTGGCTAAAGGAATCCCACAGCCCTGCCACCACACCAACGGGCTGCTCCCCTGCCTGCAAAAACTACCTACTGCTCTCTCCAGTAAAATTCCACAATGGGCTGGCTAAGCCTCTCTCTATATATAGATATATATTTATATAAAACACACACACAGAAAAAAACAACCTGAAACCCCTCTTTTGCTGTGAAGGCAAAATTCATTGCTGACTACAGTAGTGTTGTAACAGCATCCTCACTGATATTAGATTGAAAAGCCCAACCGTATGAGCTGCTGAGCATCTCCTGTGAGTAAGAAGGGCTTTTCTTCTTGAAAGACCAATTGCATAGAAGTCAGGAAATAAATTAATTTCCATAGTTACCAAAAGGAGTTTAATTAGGCCAGTAGTGACAACACATAGGAAGCATGAAAATACATAGGGAGGATGATACGTGGGATGGAAGAAGACTACAGATGCATTGTACTTTGCTTGCCAGAACAGCTGTAGATTGAAAGGGACAGAGAAAGACACAGGCCCAGCCTCATGGTAGACACGTGTGTGCTAGACCAGAGGTTGGGGCAGCAGGGAGAGCTGAGGTACATAAAGCTGCTGCTTGCTCTATTGCTAGCCTGGGAACCCTCCCTTTGGACCGTTGGGTGCCTGAGTTTTATCTCAGCCCTCTTGCTGTGGCCGTGTCAATGCTCTGCCCCAATCTTAAAACCCCGGGGCTGCTTCTTGGCCCATGCTCACACGATGGCTGAGCAGCTTCTCCTCTTCGTGGGTGGACTTGGTGCCAAGTCCCAGCTGGGGAGCCTGGAGCAGCCCCCGTGGCAGGCTCTGCTGGGCAGGAGCTCACAGCACAACCTATACAGGCCATACACTTCACTCACCCTGAGGCACAGGTTAAAGTCTCTGCTGTCCTTGCTACTTACTGTAAATTATTAACTTTTTCCTGAATTCTTAATTTAAGAACACTGGACTGATAAGAAACTCCTCTGTTACTAAGCTTCAATCTCTCTATTGCAGGCAAACGTGTAATATAATCTTTTTAGTAAAGTCACCAAACTCCGTTTTAAAAGTTATGTCTCCCTGAATAAAGAGATATTGCTGCTCATGCATCAAAATGTTAAGAAAAAACATTGCTGTAGCAATGTAGAAATTCACCAAAAGAAAGCGAAGCTTCTTTCAGCAAAGTCTGTCATCTATTTTCCTGGACTGATCTCAAAAAAGACAGTTTTTGGCAAGAGTATTTTATATGCCAGTTATCTTTACATACACACATCAGATTATATCATACATATTGTTGCAAGTAGTAGTTTTCAATACGTCTTTTACAGATATCTTTTCCTTTTTAAAAAAGCACCCTTCTTGCAATTTTTAAGATCTGTGAACATGATGACTGTCCTAAAAGGTATGATAATCTCTCACAGTGTTTTTCCATCTCTTCAGTGACTTGCCATGGGAGATAATTATTTGGCAAGCACATTTTGTCACTCTTGCCAGGAGTGTCAAATATAGAAGTCAAGAAGACTTTGTAGGTTACTGCTCCAGTGTAGAGACGCTTAATGAATGCCAGAAGTCAAATGAGCATAAAACTGTCTTCACAAAAGCTTGAGCAAGACACAACATGAAAATGTTCCTGTCTTTCTTAAAATATTTCTGTGAAATTTCTCCCCGGTTCGGTTTATAGCTTATAGTAAAATGACTTACATTTTCTGACTCCTCCACACAAGTTTTAAGATCTTACCAGCAAGAAAAGCAACTGGCAATATCATAACGTCAGTACCTGAATTGAAGAAATATTCTTCCATAAGGATAATGAACTAGATTTCAGACTACCGTCACTCTGGCTGTAGTCTGATGACACATACTCTGTGGCACTGTCACTGTCCAATGCTTCCTCCCTTCTCCTTTCCCA